AGCCAACAAACTTGGGGTGTGACAACTCTGCCACTTTGCTATGTCACTACACTCATTTTGTTATACTTTTTTTTTATATATATTAAAATTATATCTTTATTGAGTAATTTATATAAGTAAATATAAAGAAACAAAACTAAATAAAGACTTAATTTGTATATAAATGAATAAATATAAACTACATGCAAGAATAAAAGCTCAGACTAAATTTATCTGCAACCTAAACCTACTAAAGTGATCAAAACTCACCTAGATTTGAATGGTTAATATATGATTAGTAGGAATACTGAACTGGATCTATAAAGTGGACCAGATATTAAATTTAAGTTTAGCGAGTCTAGCTGTGAGCAAAAAAAGGAATCAGAATGTAGTTGATCAAATAAGTTGCATAGAAAGTTATATATAAAAGTGTTATGAGTTCTAGTATAAAACAATTAGAGATCGTTGATTAATATGAATAGAGATAGTATTTGGTGTACTTTTTTCAAGTAGAAAAGTTAATACAGTATGATTTTTATATTTGTTCATAGATTTAATTAGGAATTTTTGATAATTAGCTCTGAAGCTATCAAGTAAGATATATCAAATAGTAATATGCATTAGATAAGCGAAAAAGAAATAAGATCTTTAAGGGTAGAATAAAGAAATATGAATAGAGAGTAGAAGGATAAAGAGAAAAGGAAGGGTGCGATGAAATTGTATATATTAAGTAATTAAATTTATAAGAAGCAAGATCAAGATTGGCATTCAAAATAATTTCCAAAATAGAAGAATTAATAATTTGGAATAGAAGATTAGTAAGAACAGAAGTACCAGTGAGAAGGAAAGTCAGGAAGATTGCATTAAAAACAGTTAGAAGATGGAAATAGGTTAGATGATATAGAATGCGTTAAAGTGAATTGAATTAAACTTCATCCTCACCCTGGTAATTTATTTGAATGATTAAATGATTACAGCTAATTGTACATTTGTTAAAATAAAAGAATTAAAAATTATTTATTGAATAATGATTAAAATAATTTACAGGTTGATTATAAAAATAATAGTTAAGTACAAACTCAAAATTCAAAGTAGTCATAACATAATAAATAGAACATTGGTAAGCTTAAGCATATCTGAGATTAATATTTTTTTGAACTTTGTCATTACTATCAACACATCATTAATGTTTTTTTTTATACTCTGGTCACGTTCTCTGATACTGACCAATAAAAATGTTTAAATGGATAAACCCAGAATTGGTATAGGCTGACCAAAAATTTTTCTACAGTTTTGGATACTTTAATTATGTTATCATTATTAACTCATTAATATGACAAATCATATGTAAAAAATAAGTTTTCTCTCACACTAGTCACATTTCTGAAGATGACCAATCAAAAATGTTTAAACAGATGATTTGTTTTAGGGATTACATCAGAATGATATATGTGTACATGCTTTGAGTTATCCAATCAATTTATGAATAAAAGACCAATCACAGGATTGAATCTGATTTCTTTATTGTATAATATCATACAACAAAAATTTGTGAATATAACAATAGTATATTACAATGTTTAATTATACATATCGATTATTAATTAGAAAAATATGTAATATTTTAGATTGAATATCGCAATAAATTAAAATTCACATGTTGACTATATATCTGGCTTTAGACGATCTTCAAATTTGACAATCATGTAAATGATCAAGAATGTCGCAATGGTTACATATTTGAACTAGATCTTGGATTATACCAATTCACAGGTAACTAATCAAAAATGTTTAAATGGACGAACCCATAATACAACAAATATTATGATATTGATTGCATAGCAGGTATTTTTACACAACCTACAGCCACATGTTATATAGATAACTAATTAAGTATGTTTTTTATGTCAATCGAAATCGTGTATTATTTTATAGTGTTTTCTAATAATAATAACTAATAACTAACTAATAAGTACTAGTAATCCATTGTGTTTCGATTGATAACTGATTATTCACTAGGACATTTACTATGAAAAATTAGATATCAATTACTAAAACTCAACTGATAACTAATAATAACTAATAACTATTAATAATAACTAGATGTTCTATAGTATAGGTAGGCAATATAAAAAATAAACACCACTACTAATTAGTAATCATTAATAAATATTTAGCAGAGTTGCTGAGTTTGCGAAGTCTGCTCACCTATTCTATAGAATATCCTAATAACTAATAATAACTACATGGGGCGTATGAAAAGTCTTGTCAGTAGATCTTTATTTCAATCAATTTTAAAGATACAATTTTAAAACTAATATATATGAATATAGTGGTTATAATAAATTTGCAAAAAAAAATTTAGTTAGTTTTACTTAGTTAGTTTTTGAAAAAAATTAGGTTAAAAATTGCTAGTTTAAACAATTGAAATTTATTAAAATAAAGATTTAAAAATATTATAAATAGTAAAAATTTTTATATAATAAAAAAAATTTTATATTCAAAATAATCAACAATATCTATATAGTTAAAATTTATATAAATAAATTTTTTTTATAATTATTTCAAGTAATTTTATTATAAGTTAAAAATTTATATATATCTTACTATATATAGTAATTTATTTACTTAATTTAGTAATAAAAGTTTATTTATATAATAAATTTTAAAATTTTTTGATTTAAATAAATTTAATAATTTTATTTGAAAATAGAATAGTTATAAATAATAATTATTATTATTATTTATATAATTTATAAAATTATAAAATTATAAAAATGTGTATAGCTTCGCAAAATTTTATAAAATAAAAAATATTTTAAATTTTAAATTTTTTAAATTTTAATGTTTTAATTTAAAAATAATTTATATATTCAAAAACTACATAATTAGATTTAATATTGTTTAAATTTTTATTATAATTAATTTATTTTTCAATATTTTTCAATATATTTAAGATAAAGCTTAATTAATTTTTAAATATAAAAATTTTGCAATAGTTTTTAAACATAAAGTTAAAATTATAATATTTTAAAAACTGTTTGATAAAAATAGCTAAAATTTTATTTACAAATTAATCATAATTACAAAATTTTTATATATTATTTTTATCTTTAAAATTGATTGAGATATTGATTTATTGACAAGATTTTCAAACAGCCCACATAAATAAATAACTAACTAATTAGCCATCTGATTTTAAATTATGTATATATTACAGTATTATATCAATTTTTATTAAATTTATTATGCCGAAAAAATTACTAGCCGAAAAAAATTTTTGGCTAATTTTTTATAGGTGTCCTAGAAATAATAAAAACAGCTGTAATTATGGCTGCTGAAAATAATTACAGCTGCCGAAATGATTACAGCTGTCGAAAATGATTTCGGCATTCCATATTTTGAAGTGGCATGATGAAAATATAAAAAATATTGGCAAGCCATAATGCCGTAAATCTTTCTGAATTTAGGCATCCATGTATAGGTACCTGTATACTATGCTTTATAATTTTAAAAAGTTTTTTGTATAAGTTAAAAAAAAAAACTTAGCAAGACCAGTGTAAAAATAAGTATTAAAGTATTAACTTTTTAATTAAACAGTATATATGGGGGTGTGTCAATTAAAACAAGGCTTATGGCATTTTTTACAAAAATGAGTTAACTATGCCATCATGTAGAGTAAGCATTTTTCTATATAATTTGACATTTAAAGCATCAATTTGCATAATAAAATTTTTGTCGATGCCTACTTTTTGAAATGCTGTATATGATTAAACATGATCTAAAATTAGAATTTGGATATCCGGTTGTTGATCTCTGCTGCAGAGTCATAGAAAAGGATTCATATGATTGGCCAGCATATGTAGATCCAACAGGTTATACTAATAATAGATTGTCATTGTTATTGTTACACCAAATTTTAAACGCGATTTTCTCAAAATAGAAAAAAAGCCATAAGCCTTGTATTAATTGACGCAGCCCCATATATGTATAAAACTTATGCTGAACGCTACAGTTTGCTTATTTTTTTTCTTAAAGTTTTTATTTATTTATTTAATACCTGTACTGAATATTACTAAGTCTATACTTTCTCTAATTCTTTTTCTAGACTTTAGCACCGGCTTTGAAGAATGAAATTTCACTAAACTTAAACTATTTTATTACGCGGATAACACGAAACTTAAAAAAAAATTTAATAGTGTGTGTAACGGTAACGGTGAGACGGTAATGCAGTGATGTTTATCAATATCTACGATTGGTAAAATCAAGTATTTATACACACTTTATCGTTATTAATTCCGATTGTTTAGGAAATATATAGTTTCTTACACCGTACAGTTGGCTCACAAAGTTTAACACGGTTACACAAAAACAAAAAAACAAAATTTAAAAATTAATAATATGCCAAATTGTATTAGTGAAGTCATTCATAATAATGGCATGGTTGTGGACATTGGTATTTAATATATATCGTATCGACATATACTGTAATCTTATACATACGTATAAATTTGCGTAATCTATTAATGTCGTTGATTTGCATAAATTTTTGTTTTTTTATTATGTTTTGTGTAACCGTGTTAACCCAGGTACGTAACACTGTACGTACGTACTAGAGTATCAGGTGAAACTAATCTTCAATGGTGCACCGATGGTAGAACTAGAGTTATAGATGAAGCTAATCTTCAACGGTGCACCGATGGTGCACCAGATGGAACTGGTGAAACTGGTGAAATTAATTAGTTTCACCTGCAACTCTAGTACGTACGTACGTACATACATATGAATCCTGCGATTCACAGGATCCACAAAATTCATTTTAAAGATGGTCTGCTGAATTTTAGCACACGATTTTACTCATATACGAATTTTCTTCTAGGCACTTTTTTTTTTCTTTTTGGAAGAACCATAATGCTTGTTGCCGGTCAACGCGTATGGTAAGAATTTAACATCATATTATTCATTAAAATTTATTGTTGCCGATAATCTTAATTTCGAATACATAATATCATGTTATATATATGTCGATAGTTGTTGATATGATAGCGGAAGGTATGATATTATTCCTTAAAAATTCTTTGGGTATAATCTCGCTTTAATAACTCATTTCCTTTTCTCAGTAAATATTATTCACACATACAAAAACTTTGAAGAAAAAAATAAAGAGGCCATTTATAAGTTTGTTCTTAGTGACACTGCGGCAGTTTGCGGGTTTGAAGCCACAATAGATGATAAAAGAAAAGTTATAGGGATAGTTAAAGAAGCCGAACAGGCAAAGAAAGAATACGAAGAAGCTATCAAAGTATTTATTGCATTATAATTATAATTGTAATTGTCATTAATGATGCCTGAAGAAACTATTTTTTGTAATGAGAAATTTTGTCACGTATTCGTTGACAAAACTTTGACGAATATTGACGAAACTCATGACAACCAATAAATGTTAAAATCCCTTTCGACAAGTTTCTATATAGCGAACTCTGGATATCCTGAATCCAAATTTTTTTTAAATAATTTACTAAGTATAAAGTTTCGTCGGTACAATAATTTTATAATTGATAACTAAAAATTAAGCTCATACACGTATGATGTTAATTTTTATCTTTAAACTACTGTACATGAAATCTGAAGCAGGTAATTTATAATTTCCAACGTTAGACTTTTCGGATATCTCTCCCTGTAGAAAATTTTATCCGAATATTCCCATATTTTTGTGAATCTGCAACATGATCGATCGACTAAATCTAGACAATCATGATTTACGGTTGTGAATTTACAAAAAAAAAACATGGAATATAAAACAACACGAATCGACTTTTTTTATAGGGTGTGTCTGAAAAAAAAAAGAAAATTAGAAAAACGGATAAAATGATTCAACAAAAGAATTAATTTGCATGAACTAATTTATTAACATTATGAATCACCATTCGTCATAGGTTTTGTCATTGTTACCTGTCAGGCTTCATTAATTTTCACTGCTAATGCTGAAATTGAATTTGGACCTATTTTTATATGAAATTATAAATTTTAAGGTGCAATTTTTTCCTAGTGCTAGGTTAGGATTCAGGATTGCGGTTGTTAATAAAAAAGTATAAGCGATTTTTAATAGGGTCATATTTTCAAATACGTATCAAAATTTCAGCATCAGCTGCGATAATAATTATCAAAAATTGAAATTTTCGTTGAATTATGTTAATAATTAACATTTTATCAAATTTATTAATATTAAATTATTAAATCTTAAGCTAGGTTATGGGGCTTATTTACTTGAAGAACAAGATTCATATATATTCAAGTGTTCCGTTGGTAACATTAAACACGGCCAAAAAGTTGAAATCAAAATTAAATATGTGATTGAGCTTCAGCACGATTTAGAAGTTAATAGTGTCCGATTCATTTTGCCAGCTACTATTGCCCCAAAATATGGCTCTTATTTTTTTAATCATAAAAGGATGTGTCTTTCTACCAAAATTTCAGATTCATCGGATTATTTCCCTATTGAGTTTTTTATAACTTGTAGGATGAGTTCATCGATTTATAGTATCAAGTCTCCTTCTCACCATGACCATGTTTCTATAGATGATAAAGAAAAAGACCTAGGAATATCTAAAGTTACATCAAACAAAGGAAATCTTTATTATTTTGAAAACGATTTTATACTTCTCATTAAAAGTCAAGATATTGATAAGCCCAGGTAAGTATTTTATGAGATTGCATTAAAGTATGGACCTACCATTAATAAACTGCAAACTTTCAAATTAATTTTAGAGCATTTATCGAATATAATCCCATAACCGAGACTCATTGTTTAATGCTTACTTTGGTTCCAACATTTAAGCATAAATTAATTAAGCCTGATTCAATAAAGATGGAACTTATATTTATTGTTGATAGGTAACTATCTAAAATGGCATAGTGTTTACGTATCATTACCAGTTACAAATAAATAATAATCACCTTAATGCATAAAAAAGTTCAAGGTCTATGAAAGGTGCATCGATTGAAAAAGTAACCAAAACACTTCAGTATTTGCTCCTTTCACTTCCAGAAAGTTGTTTCTTCAATGTGATAACAATTGGGCACAAGCAATTTTTCAGCTATTTTATGGAAAGTCAACCATGCACGAAAACAAATATTGAAGAGGTTATCAAAAAGATTCAAAAAATAACTGCAAATGGTGGCACTCATCTTTATGAAGCTCTAAAATGGGCATTTAAATATTCACTTCCTGATATGCCGACATCAATTATTCTATTCTCAGATTTTGAGACATTGCATATCAACCGAATTGTTGATCTTATAAAAAATCCAGAAATGAAAAAAGATTTAAGAATATTTTCAATCGGAATAAATAATTCTAATTCTAATTGCCATCATTTCATTGATTCTATTGTCGAGCTGGTAAAGGATATGCACAGTATGTGTCTAGCTCAGAAGAAATGAATAGAAAAGCGATGATCATGCTTAAGAATTCATTAAATCCTCCTGTATCAGATTATAAAATTACATGGACTAATGAATCTAATGAAGAATCTCAGAATAATGATATTAAATTTCAGCAAGCTCCATTAAAAATTCCAGAACTTTACGTTGGTGATCGTTTCATAGTTTATTGTATATTAGCAAAAGATGTTAAACCATGCGAAACGATTACATTAGAATCAAAATCCCAAGGCCCTTTACCTGATTTGGAGCCAATTAAACCAATTTCTTTGTATGGATCAAAAATTCATACACTTGCGGCCAAAAAACTTATTCAAGAAATTGAACATGGTAATTATTATTCTAATTATGCAAATAATAAAGATTTTGTTCGTGAACAAATTGTGCGCTTAGCAAAATCTTATAATCTGAGTTCTAAATATACTAGGTAATTGTTTTTAATTTCATTCATTCATAATTTTTAAAACAATATGCTAATTGTTTATTATTTTATTTTAATGAACAGTTTTATTGCAATTGAGAAACAAAATATTGAAGATCATGAAAAAAAGAATGAAATTATGAAAAAATGGTTATAGAAAAATATAAAAAAATCGAATCACAAGGTGTTTTGGGTTTAAGAATGAACACGAAAAAAAATTAATTATAAAAGTGGAAAAACAAAAATAAGTTGAAAATAAAAAAGACAAAGAACTTAAAAAAGGTTACGAGAAAAAAATAATAACAGAATTTGTGAAAGAACCCGAGAATCAAAATGCTATAGAAATTAAAAACAAAGAATGTGAAAAAGCAATGATGATTGAAAAGTGTAAAGAATTTCAAAGAAAAATGGAATTAAAAAAAGAAAAACTCAAAAAAAGAAACGCAATAGAGAGTCAAAAAAAAATTGAACTGCAAAAAAAACAACTCAAAAAGGGCAAAGCAATAAATCTTGAGAAACAGAAAGCTGCCCGTCAAAAAGCAATAAGCGAAATAATTGAAGAAAATAAGAAAGATGAAATACCAAAAACTGAAAAACCTATTAAAAACTTTTTCGGTGGCCTTTATGATAAAGCTGCCAAACTTGGCGATCAACTTGAAAATGCCCTCGATGACCATGAGAAAGCGGAAGCACTCATTGTCGTTGAAGAATCAGGCACTCCTGAAAAATGCAAAGAAATCGTTTCAGACGAAAAAGATGATGGCTGCATTGAATTAGATGATTCAGTTTGTAATGAACTAGATACTCCTAAAGAAAACATTATTAACACAATTCAAAGGATAGCTAAAAATGATAAGCTTAAAACACCTGAGCGTAAATCAACTCTTGAACCTTCTATTAGCATTCCATACCTTAAGAAAGCAGCACCCCATCACGAAGAATTGTTGGAGCTTGTTGAGAATTACCATCCTAGACAATTTAAATTTCCCCTTCGGTGACTTTTATATAAAATCAGCGGCTTCGGCGTCCACTAAAAACTTGGTAATCGATATTAAACATGCCTTGGGGGGTGCTGTTAAGAATGGGACAAAAGTTATTGTCACCCAACAAAAGAGTAATATTGATCAAGATGATCAACAACTTTGGAGCCATGAAGATGGTTGGTTAATTAACAGGAAAACGAAGTTATGTCTGGAAGTAGAATCAGGTATGAATCATAAAAATAGAAGCATACGTTAAGCCAACAAAAGAGTTTATCTATCCCTATTATTATAGTAAAAGAAGGAATTTATCTCAGTGTACACCACAAGAGAAGCCTAAACCAGGCCAATAACCAACGTTGGATCCTTACTCCAGAAGGACGTATCGCTTTAAAAAATAATCCCATGTTCGTGATTGAAGTTCTAGGAACAACTGTAAATGATGGGATCACATCTTATTCTGGTCAATACTAAATCGAAAAATTTCAAGGATGGCCCTAACTCCAAATTTGTTATTATTAATAAGAAGAACCGTTTTGGTAATATATGAATCAAACAGCATGGACCACCAGTATGATATTGTGGTCTTGAAGTCTATTTTAAAAGAATATCGAAGTGAATGGATTGGTGCTTACAAACGTGCCACACAATATATCAGAAAGGAAACTCATTGTGACCTAAAAGTAGAAAAATATTTTGTTCTCTATTGGAGAGACGGTTGTTAATGAGAGATTCGATGTTAACGTTAAATAATTTTTTTTAGATAAATAAACATATTCACAATAAGAAATATGTTTTTAAGAAATCAATGTTTACCATTTACGTATTAATAAATTTAACTGTTTAAATAGACTATTTGTTTGTAACATCGTGACTTAAAAATACGTAAAAATTTGTGATGGCTTCATTACTTCATTAATTAGTCCCATTAGGATTCTTTGCACTTTCAAATTGTTCCAAAAGCTTTTTTAATACTTAACATCATTAATTAAATCAAACAAAAATTTAAATTAAAAAATTATATATATAGTGGATACTCATACAGCCACCTTTGTTGTTTTGGAATAATTCTATTTGGATCAAGATCTATATAGATAAAATATAAAATTATTCAATGGATTGATATGAAATAATAAATAACATTAATATGATAATTCCAAGTAGAAAATGACTATAGTCATTTATATGACATGTTAGTTATCACTATTACCGTCCCAATGAATTTTTTGAGATACAGTCACGGTCAGGGATGACATGTTACGATATTAGACATTTGGACAATTTGACATTGTAAATTTTTTTATGGGACTAGAGCTTGGATCCGGTCATCCGTTTTCATATTAAATTTAACGGATATCCGTTAAATTTAATATGAAAACGGATGACCGGATCCAAGCTCTATATGGGACATAAAAAAAATTTTGACCTAAATTAAAATTACCGTATTTGCGCGTTATTTCGGAACGCGCATGCGCGGTAATTCAAATCATTTTGACAAATTTGGGTTACTAAAGGAAGCCCTACTTTTATTAATGAACTTAGTCTGAAAAATTCATGGTGTATTTAAGGGGCACGTTATTTTGAGTCAACTAATACAAAATATCTCTAATTTACAGTATAGTTAAAAAGTATACTGATAATTATTATTACTGTTGTTATTATTTATAAAACAAGAGTGCATACGTACGTACACACACACACTACCGGGTCAATTTAAAATTCATTCTACTTACAAACGTACATACATTAGATAGTTTTAGAAATATATATTTTATAGTGCCCTAGTGAAATATGATTAATCAAACATAATGTTAGAAACTGTAAAATTATTTGTATTTCAAAAATAATAATGGCAACAGATTGGTTTTATTTTTAATTTTTAAAATAAAGGCATATTATAAAGGAAATACGCACAAATATAATAAATATTAGCCATGGCCGACACTTTGAAATAGAGACACTCATTAATAAATTATCGAAAAAATTTAAAGAAAGAAAATATCTTTAAAGTAGTTGGCTTTTTATTTATACGATAAAAGTTTTACAATTTTCAATTCTATTTAATAACCGTTCAAATTTACAAACTATTGAACAAAGATATCTTATGTTAATATGCCTAAGAGCTTAAGATTATCGTTAAGGACCCGAGTATTTGCATATTAGCGTGCTGGTTTAGAAGATTTTAGCAATATTATATAAGTGAAATGAATAATTTTAGAAATCAGTATATTTTACTAAAGATGAAATTTGAAGTTTTTTTAGGATTGGGTGAAAATATTAGGTTTAGTGTTTAAGTACGTATCATATAAAGAGGGATGTAATTCTAATAGTGAATTAACTTTATATTTTGCATTATTGTTTTCCATTCTAGCTGACTTTAAATAAAAGCCTAAATCATTAATTTCATTTTTGTCAACCCAAATTCCATTTTAACAATACCCAAGATTAAATATTCAATCAGAATCTCTAATGTTGGCTGATTTTTCATAATACTCGAATGCTTTTTTTCATTCTTTTCTGTTCCAATTCCATTTTTATAACAATTGGCAAGATTGTATATTCTATCAGGATCCGGATAAAGTTTATTAAGTAATTCAGAAATTTTTTTATTTGTAAAAAAATATTAGGTGAGCTTGCATTTCAATTTACGAACATTTTATAGCTGATTTTTGATAGTGCCTAAATGCCTGTTAATCATCCTTATCAACTCCAATGCCATTTCTATAACAATACCCAACTTTGAAATATTCCATTAGGATTTCCCATTTCTGCTGATTTATTATAATATTTGAATGCCTCTTTTGCTTTATTATGTTCTTGAAAAAGGTAGTCAAGATTCCATATGCCATCAGAATCAGCATATTCGCTAAGTCTTCATAATATTTTTGTGCTTGATCCTACTCCAATTCCATTTCGGTAGCAATATCCGACTTGAACAATCCAGCAGAATTTACCATCTCTGCTAATTTTTTATAATTAGAAAATGCTCTTTTTCATCTTTCTTAACTCCAATTCCATGTTGATAACAGTAACCCAAATTGTATACAGGGGGGTGACAAAAATAATTATACATCTAAAGACTTGGCTTATATCAAAAACTTACTAATTAATTTTGGATTTTATTTATTTATCTAAATCTATATCTCTGTGATTATGTGATATTATTTTTAAATCATATACATGTATAATTAACAATTTATTTAATTTTATTTTTAGAGTTTTGAAAAATTTGGTAAGTGCTTATGTTTTTTTAAAAATATTTTAATATCTATTGATTCAAATTTGATGAGATTTTAATATATTATAGCAGAAGAAATTTTTTATATAATATAAAAATTTGAAACAATTTTAATCAATAGTTGATTAAAAAATTAAAAAAAAACAAAAAATTTTAAGTTTAATCTTTTTTATTAATTATTTTTAAACCTATTGATCCAAATCAGATGAAACTTTTTTTATTTGATATAAATAAAATTTTTTTACAAAATAAAAAAATTATTAGAATTTAATTACTAGTTATTGAAATAATTAAGATTTTTTAAAAAAAGCAAGTAGTTAATATTTATTAAATATTTATGAATTCTTTATGATTTTTTTTTACAAAATTGATAAAAGCTATATCTTTAAAATAAAAAAGAAATCAATTAGATTATATAAGTAAATTTTTTAAAATTATTATTAATTAGATCTTTATTTTTAAAGCTAAATAATTTTTGAACTATTAATTTATTTTAAACAATTTTATTACCAAAATACTCCCCATAGTTTGAAGATTTTAACAAAATTTATTTTATCAAAATCTGATTACTAGATTATAAAATATTTAAAATTAGGTGGTTTTTTATATTTTTAGATTAAAAATAGTTAAAAAAAAGTTAATAACAAAACTCTTTCTGTCTATCACCCGTACACAAATTTTCCTAGCTTAATTATTTTAAAAATATCTTATATCTTTATTTTCTACTAAGTTAACCTTAGTTTT